AACACTAGTGTTGCGGAGTTGAAATCAGCACCGTCAAGTTGGTAAGTATAGTATGTTCTGTCGTTGCCTTTCAAGAACTCAGCAAGCGGGAGAACTGTTTTGTTGCTGTAAGTTATCACCGTCATTAAGTTGTGATTTCCGTAAATTGGAAATGAGCATCCCCACTTTGTTGATATTGCTAAAATGGATACGCATGTCACGGAGCCGCTTGTATGGACAAGTTTAAATGTGTAGATTTGACCGGCTTCTTGGATATGAAAAGTTCCGTGGTCGTCATTTTTTGTCCCAAAACAGACAGGATCGCCTATGTTGACCTTTTTCCAGTTATCTGTTAAATAGTTTGTCAGGTTTCAAAGAAAGCCTTAGGTTTTCGTGTCTTAGAAACGGTAACGCACAATAAATTGATTTGTTTGAGGAAAGTAATTAAAGAATAACTGTGGTTATGTTCAAACCACTCTACTCACTCACATTTGTTTGTTTTGGGTTAAAGATCAAGATATACCTGAGCAAAAGTGCCGTCCATCTCCAAGGTGTCCAGACTGACAGCTGCAGTCGAATGATCCAGCGGTGTTTGTACAATCGGCCGCAAAGTGACAGTCATGGCTTCCATCGTTGCACTCATCGATATCTAAGTAGAAATGGAATATAAGACTAATCAAGGTGTAGGGAAATTATCAGAAGAGGTGGGGTTGTTTTTTTTAGCGTTTCCCAGAATCTACTGAAAAGTGTAACGTGCTGAGGTGGTGAATTGACGGGTTTGCCAGAAGTTCGGAATCGTTCTGTATGTTTTAAATATGCTTAAAAAAGCAATTTTGCTGATTATGAAGTGGAGGCAGCCTTCTCTGTTACATTAACATGTAAAACCCTTTTTTTTAGGCAATTGACCCTGCGAATCACATCAGTTATTTCTGTCTTGCAAGACTGGTGAAGAGGCCATAGCTTTGCACTTTTATATAAAATAAATGTTACCTTGGCAAATTTTACCATCGCCAGTAAATCCAGGCTTGCAAGAGCACTGATATGAACCCACGACATTAACACAGTCGCCGTCAGAGGAACAATCGTGTTTGCTTGATGTACACTCATCAGTATCTACACACGAGTTACAAGAGACGGAGAAGTAAGATGTATGAGCCCATAACATTAACACAACTGCCATCAGAGGAACACTTCTCCTTGCCTAGACGCATTCGTCAACATGTATTCAAGGTTAAAGGAAGATGAAAAAAACCATAATATTCCTTATTTTGAAATAGATCTTTTTCATCTAAAGTGCATCTCCATCGTATTAATCAATTATTTCTGTCAGTTTTTCCCAATTTCAACTATTGGCTTTCAGCACGAAACTTATACTTTTATTTGTTTCATTTCTGTTCTTGTCCTTGCATCAAATATCTACAGTTGACAAGATGAGGCAGTTTTCCCTTCATATCACCCATTCCTACTCGGATATTCTCTTACTTTCTCGTTTTTCTTTAAGACTATTATCTATGATTTATCACATCACGACAGCAATACTTTGATATCACCTCTCGGTTAATGCTGCAGAAGAACACCTTATAACGACGTCTCCAGTTGTCGCAACCCTGGAGTTTCAATCCATCTGACAACTTCTAGCATTTGAGAGAGCACATACTGAACAAATCTAACTTGCCCCTTGCCTTATGGCGGAGATATCCTTTGATGCAGATATTAAGGCTGTATTGATTAAACAGATGAGGATTCAAAACTTTCCTTGCTGAGAGGCTATTTTATTTGCAGCTTTATTGCGTAACTTTAACTATGAACCTGGGTGATAAAGACCTGCTTTCGCGAGGAATTTCCTTTCTCACCTATTTGGCAAAGCTCTCCTTCATATCCGTCAGAACAAATACAGCGGTAACCATGACTACCAAACCCCGCTTGACATGTAGAGTTACTAACACACGGATTGCTCTCACAGGAATTCTAAAATATGATAGATGAATTAAGTAATTAGATAGATAAAGCCTAGATTAGTAAATTAATAGACTGAGTATTTAGAGAGATAAATAATAAAGTGGTAAATAAATAAACAAGGAGGTTCAACTTGAAACAGAGGTTTCTCGTTCGCGGAACGATCACCCTGGTAAAATTGATATTGTTATTTACTTACAATAATTTCTCTGTATAAAAAGTCGTTACTAAATTCGAAGTAACTGGGAGAGACCTGCAAATGATTTCTGTTGCTTAGCTTGCATGTGAATGCTCCATCTCCCAGCGGACCATAGTTATAGGACACACAGTTTGGTTCAAAGTAGCATTTCAACTCGCAGATATCCTTGTCCTTTGCTCGTTCACTTCTTATGACTTGATTAGTTAAGATCTTGTTTTTCGTTCCTGCTTTGAACTGAATCACTCGGCAATCATCTAAGGGTTTGGCAAGAAATGAAGAAGCCAATGAGAAAATGACATTAAACGGGGCATAAGCTTGAAGGAAGCCGACATTCTGAGTCTTATCGCAATATTAGTTTAAAGTTGTTCCATAAATGTCTGGGAAACTACATAATTAACTCTTGATTTGCCGCTCGACGAAAAGTGGGCAGTTTTGCAATAACGTGCTATCGTGCAATATCCCATTTCTGCCATATTTACTTTGAGAATTCGAAATTTCACATTATCACTCGGAATAGATTTAAAGTTAACTTACTGAGTCTTCTATTTTCACACACTTACTTTCTTCTCCCTTTTGTACCATTAACACAAGGATATGAATCTGATCACGAATACAAAAGTGATAACAGATTAAAGTGTCAGCGATGCCAGCTTTTGGCAGGAGTCACTTACCTCCATACACCAGTACACCAAAACGAAAATCCATATAAAAGTTAGGACCTTACTCATTGAAGGATCACCAACGGCTAATGAGAACAGTATCATATTGTCGTTAGTGAGAACACCCTTCAGCTAGCTATAGCGAGCTAAATGAAACGCTGCTCTCTCTTGTAAATGCAACCAGACTTAATATTTCAACACTCAAAACAATACAGCGAATTGCAGAATCATAAAAGAGGAAAATGATTATTAATGTAAGCGGCAGATGTGAGACCAGCACGCTTCGCAGTTATAGGATTTTATTTTTTAACATTTGCGAATACGTCACTTGAATAATCACATGGCTTAACTTAATTTGAAAACAAAACATCGAGTCTTAAGAATTACAGAAAAACTGTAGCAGAAAAAAAAAACTTAAATGCGTGATGTTAGCCTTTGTAAATAATTAATTAACCGTTTGCCGAAGATTGCCTAACGCAAGACGTTTTTCAGTGTTACCACTTTGATGTATGCGTTAAATGAAGTTGAAAATCTGTCGAGTGCGTTCAACTGCAGATTAATTTATAGAAGGATCAAAATAAAAAAAGGTTGGACCGCTTCAAAAAGCCCCACGACAAAGACGTGCGAGAAAGCATGCACATTTATTTTAATTTTAAGGAAATACTTGAAACAGAGAACATGCTGAACAGTGATAGATTTATTTTTGTGGAAATGAAAATTGAAAAGACCATCAACCCTTTTTTAAGCTAAAATATTTCAAGTGATAATTAATTAAAAAAGAATTCTTCAACGATAAGATGAAAGCTTAAGGAAATACTTGAAACAGAGAACATGCGGAACAGCGATAGATTTAATTTTGTGGAAATGAAAATTGAAAAGACCATCAACACTTTTTTGAGCTAAAATATTTCAAGTGATAAACCCAAACTTGAACACCTATGCCTCTAAATAACCAAATTCAAATAAGAAGGAGGGTAAAATTGAATATAATTAAAGTGAATCCACTTGATATCAATCACATAGAAAATTATCAATGTAGATTAGGTTGGTGATACGCTTACATGGCTTAAGTTTGCACCTGACGTTTGTTTACCTAAAGAGTACTCATTTTTTTTCTCGTCTTAACTCAAATATATCGCCTTGGTGTCATGAAAGAGGCTGATTTCCTGCCTCGTAAAAAGCGAAAAAAAAAATACCACAAAAGAAAAGGAAACAATTGTATTGGCAATATATTGCAAGGACACCTCGTCGACACTGTTTTAAAGCTGAAATTAAATGTGCCAGCCGCCCACAGAAAAAGCAAAAAAAAAGCAGTGTCTTTGGTTACCGAAATTATTCAGGGCTAATTTTTGTAAGATGGTTAAACGGTTTAATAATCTTTTCTGTCACAAACGTACCGCCATTCCGTCACGTATCTTTAAGACGCAACAAACGCATATTGCAGCCGGCTACCGTAAGACACTTGTCTTAACTGTTTAAACCAACGGGGTACCCCAATCAGCTCCTACTGCCAATCAAAATTTCCGTAAGTTCAGTTGTTTATTTACTGAAGATAAAATTAAATACAAGCTATTCAAAATGCGATTTCTGGACCCAAATTCACTGTAAAGATGATGAAAAACAGAAACACGGCATAAAATGAAACTCGACAGTTTTAAATTTAATCTTAAAGAAGAGCTGATAAAAGAGATTGTCATTTATTGTAGTTTTTATGAGCTCTGGGGCACTAAAGTTTATTTTCAATTCATTTTCATTGAAAGAAAGCAAATTCATAAGCATCAGCCGCAGGGAAAATAACTGTTGTGAAATATTTAACAATGGTGCAGTAGGCGTGCGTTGAATGTAAGCTGGTGAATAGCTAAGGAGGCAAAGCAAATCTCGACTCTTAGTATTGCTTTTTTTTTTGTTTTTTCTTTTCGTCATTACATACTTGCATTACTACATGAAATTATCTACTACGTTTCCATATCGATGTCGAAGCTTGCTGAATTTGTTAATATAGAGTCCCGGTAACCAATCAGCTTACTTATCGTACCAACTGAACGGACCATTCATTAAGGACTTGGTGATTGAAGCCATATCATATATACCGTGCCTTTTTTATGAACTAAATACCACCTGCTCTCCGATTGTTTGCCGGCTGTGATTCAGCAAAGTGCAGACGTACGACCGAAGTCATCTGTAGTTGCCGCAACCGTTTAACCGTGTCAATGGTACAGAGCATAAACGTCTGCGCATGTCTTACCATCGTTATTATACTCAGTATAATTAACCAAGTCATGCGCATACCATAATTGGAACTGCTGACCAACCAATACAACCAGTGGGGTGGGGAGGAGCTTAAACGCTAGTGTTGTGGAGTTGAAATCGGCACCGTCAAGTTGGTAAGTATAGTATGTTCTGTCGTTGCCTTTCAAGAACTCAGCAAGCGGGAGAACTGTTTTGTTGCTGTAAGTTATCACCGTCATTAAGTTGTGATTTCCGTAAATTGGAAATGAGCATCCCCACTTTGTTGAAGTTGTTGAAGTGTCGCATGTCACGGAGCCACTTGTATGGACAAGTTTAAATGTGTAGATTTGACCGGCTTCTTGGATATGAAAAGTTCCGTGGTCGTCATCTTTTGTCCCAAAGCAGACAGGATCGATGTTGACCTTTTTCCAGTTATCTGTTAAAATGTTTGTCAGGTTTCAAAGAAAGCCTTAGGTTTTCGTGTCTTAGAAACGGTAACGCAAAATAAATTGATTTTTTTGAGGAAAATAATTAAAGAAATAACTTTGGTTATGTTCAAACCACTCTACTCACTCACATTTTTTTGTTTTGGGTTAAAGATCAAGATATACCTGAGCAAAAGTGCCGTCCATCTCCAAGGTGTCCAGACTGACAGCTGCAGTCGAATGATCCAGCGGTGTTTGTACAATCGGCCGCAAAGTGACAATCATGGCTTCCATCGTTACACTCATCGATATCTAAGTAGAAATGGAATATGAGACTAATCAAGGTGTAGGGAAATTATCAGAAGAGGTGGGGTTGTTTTTTTGGCGTTTCCCAGAATCTACTGAAAAGTGTAACGTGCTGAGGTCGTGAATTCACGGGTTTGCCAGAAGTTCGGAATCGTTCTGTATGTTTTAAATATGCTTAAAAAACCAATTTTGCTGATTATGATGTGGAGGCAGCCTTCTCTGTTACATTAATATGTAAAACCCTTTTTTTAGCAGTAATTTTAAGGACAATTGACCCTGCGAATCACATCATTTATTTCTGTCTTGCAAGACTGGTGAAGAGGGTAATCAATAGCTTTGCACTTTTATATAAAATAAATGTTACCTTGGCAAATTTTACCATCGCCAGTAAATCCAGGCTTGCAAGAGCACTGATATGAACCCACGACATTAACACAGTCGCCGTCAGAGGAACAATCGTGTTTGCTCGATGTACACTCATCAGTATCTACACACGAGTTACAAGAGACGGAGAAGTAAGATGTATGAGCCCATAACATTAACACAACTGCCATCAGAGGAACACTTCTCCTTGCCTAAACGCATTCGTCAACATGTATTCAAGATTAAAGGAAGATGAAAAAAACCATAGTCCTTATTTTGAAATAGGCCTTTTCATCTAAAGTGCATCTCCATCGTATTAATCAATTATTTCTGTCAGTTTTTCTCAATTTCAACTATTTGCTTTCAGCACGAAACTTATACTTTTATTTATTTCATTTCTGTTCTTGCCCTTACATCAAATATCTACAATTTACAACATTAGGCAGTTTTCCCTTCATATGATTTATCACATCACGACAGCAATACTTTGATATCACCTCTCGGTTATTGCTGCAGAAGAAAATCTTATAACGACGTCTACAGTTGTCGCAACCCTGGAGTTTCAATCCTTCTGACAATGTCTAGCATTTGATAGAGCACATACTGAACAAATCTAACTTGCCCCTTGCCTTATGGAGGAGATATCCTTTGATGCAGATATTAAGGCTGTATTGATTAAACAGATGAGGATTCAAAACTTTCCTTGCTGAGAGGCTACTTTACTTACAGCTTTATTGCGTAACTTTAACTATGAACCTGGGAGATAAAGACCTGCTATCGCGAGGAATTTCCTTTCTCACCTCTTTGGCAAAGCTCTCCTTCATATCCGTCAGAACAAATACAGCGGTAACCATGACTACCAAACCCCGCCTGACATGTAGAGTTACTAACGCACGGATTGCTCTCACAGGAATTCTGAAATGCAATAGATGAATCAAGTAATTAGATAGATAAAGCTTAGATGAGTAATTAAATAAATTGAATATTTAGAGAGATAAATAATAAAGTGGGTAAATAAATAAACGAGGCGGATCAACTTGAAACAGAGATTTCTCGCTCGCGGAACGATCACCCTGGTAAAATTGATATTGTTATTTACTTACAATGATTGCTCTGTATAAAGAGCCGTTCCTATATTCGAAGTAACTGTGAGAGACTTGCAAATGAGTTCTGTTACTTAGCTCGCATGTGAATGTTCCATCTCCCAGCGGACCATAGTTATAAGACACACAGTTTGGTTCAAAGTAGCATTTCAACTCGCAGATATCCTTGTTCTTTGCTTGTTCACTTCTTATGACGTGTTTTGTTAAGATCTTGTTTTTCGTTCCTGCTTTGAACTGAATCACTCGGCAATCATCTAAGGGTTTGGCAAGAAATAAATAAGCCAATGAAAAAGCCAATGAGAAAATGAAATCAAACAGCACACGAGCTTAAAGGAAGCCGACAACCTAAGTCTTATCGCAATATTAGTTTAAAGTTGTTCCATAAATGCCAGAGAAACTACATAATTAACTCTTGATTTGCCGCTCGACGCAAAAAAAAAAAAAACACGGATATTTGCTATGCTCTTTCATCCTCGAAAGAAAGGCAGGTGATAAGCCTTTCCTCTGTTTCCTTTAGTTGACTGATTAAGCTGAATAGCCTGAAACTTGAATTCAAGGTATCATATTCATCTTAACAAAAAAGTTGCTTTTTCGGAGAATCATTTTTTTCATTTACCATATGACATTTAAGAACAAGATTGATGTTCACCACTGTGATTTTAATTAGGATCTGGTTTTCAAATGAGGGGGTAGGTTTCTAAGGAAACTGTAACGCTGCATCAGTGGGGGTATAATTCAATAACCGTTAGCGCTTCGCTCTGGAACGTCAGCTTTAGAAAAATTCTTTACGATAGCAAGTCTATACTATTACTCCTTTAGCTTTCAAGGTCTTCATCAGTGTCTTTTTCCGTTCCATTTATTACATATATAATAATCGGAAATCAGCAACTCAAAAATTGTGGACAAATCATATATAGACCAATGTCGCCTTGAATCCGCAATAATTTTACCAACAGATCTTCTCTCCACGTCCACGTTTCCTTCAAGCCCAACTAAGATCACGGCATTGTAAACAGGGTAGTTTTGCAATAACGTGCTATCGTGCAATATCCCATTTCTGCCATATTTACTTTAAGAATTCGAAATTTCACATCATTACCATGAATAGATTTAAAGTTAACTTAATGAGTTTTCTCTTTTCACACACTTACTTTCTTTTGTACCATAACACAAGGATATGAATCTGATCACGAATACAACAGTGATAATAGATTAAAGTGTCAGCGATGCCAGCTTTTGGCAGGAGTCACTTACCTCCATACACCAGTACACCAAAACGAAAAATCCATATTAAAGTTAGGACCTTACTCATTGAAGGATCACTAACGGCAGGTGAGAGCAGTACCATATTGTCCTTAGTGAGAACACCCTTCAGCTAGCTCTAGCGAGCTAAATGAAACGCTGGTCTCTCTCGTAAATGCAACCAGACTTAATATTTCAACACTCAAAACAATACAGCGAATTGCAGAATCATAAAAGAGGAAAGTAATTATTAATGTAAGCGGCAGATGTGAGATCAGCACCCTTCGAAGTTATAGAATTTTATTTTTGAACATTTACGAATACGTCACTTGAAGAGTCAAATGGCCTAACTTAATTTGAAAACAAAACATTGAGTCTTAAGAATTACAGAAAAACTGTAAGAGAAAAAAATAACTTCAATGCGTGAGGTTGGCCTTTGTAAATAACTAATTAACTGTTTGCCGAAGATTGCCTAACGCAAGAGGTTTTTCAGTGTTACCAATTAAATGTTTGCATTAAATGAAATTGAAAATCTGTCGAGTGCGTTCAACGTCAAATCAATTTATTGAAGGATCATTATACTAAAAGGTTGGACCGCTTCAAAAAGCTCCAAGACAAAGACGTGCGAAGAGGTATGCTTATTTATTTTAATTAAATAGGAATTGTTCAACGATTCGATGAAAGCTTAAGGAAATACTTGAAACACAGAACATGCTGAATAGCCATAGATTTAATTTTGTGGAAATGAAAATTGAAAAGACCATCAACACTTTTTTAAGCTAAAATATTTCAAGTGATAAACCCAAACTTGAACACCCGTGTCTCTAAATAACCAAATTCAAATAAGAAGGAGGGTAAAATTGAATATAATTAAAGTGAATCCATTTGAAATCAATCACATAGAAAATTCTCAATGTGGATTGGGTTGGCGATACACTTACACGGGTCAAGTTTGCACCTGACGTTTGTTTACCTCAAGAGTACTAATTTTTTTTCTCATCTTAACTCAAATATAACGCCTTGGTGTCATAAAAGAGGCTGATGTCCTGCCTTGTAAAAAAGGAAAAAAAAAGATGAAACATCACAATGCCAAAGGAAAGAACTGAATTGACAATATATCACAAGGACACCCCGTCGACATTGCTTTAAAGTGAAAATTAAATGCGCCGGCCACCCACAAAAAAAGTAGTGTTTTTGGATACCGAAATTATTCAGGGCTAATTTTTGTTGGATAGTTAAACGGTTTAATAATAGTTTCTGTCACGAACGTACCGCCATCCCGTCACGTATCTTCAAGATGCGACAAACGCATATAACAACTATCGTAGGACACTTTTCTTAACTGTTAAAACCAACGGGGTACCCCAATCACCTCTTATTGCCAATCAAAATTTCTGTAAGTTCAGTTGTTTATTTACTGAAGATAAAATTAAATACATGCTATTCAAAGTGCGATTTCTGGACTCAAATCCATTCTAAAGACGATGAAAAACAGAAACACGGCATAAAATGAAACTCGACAGTATTAAATTTGAGCTATCTTAAAGAAAAGCTGATATAAGAGATTGTCATTTATTGAAGTTTTGAAGAGCTCCGGGAAGCTAAAGTCTATTTTCAATTCATTTTCATTGAAAGAAAGCAAATTCATAAGCATCCGCCGCAGGGAAAGTAATTGTTGTGAAATATTTAACAATAATGCCGTAGGCGCGCGTTGAATGTGAGTTAGTGAATAGCTAAGGAGGCACTTCATTACTACACTAGGTAATATTATGGCAAATCTCGACTCTTAGTATTGCTTTTTTTTCTGTTTTTTTTTCGTCATTACATACTTGCATTATTACATGAAATTATCTACTACGTTTCCATATCGATGTCGAAGCTCGCTGCATTTGTCAATGTAGGGACCCTATAACCAATCAGCTTACTTATCGTACCAACTGAACGGACCATTCATTAAGGACCTAGTAATTGAAGCCATATCACATCTACCGTGCCTTCTTTATGAACTAAATAATGGCCACTCTGCGACTGTTTGCCGGCTGTGATTCAGCAAAGTGCAGACGTACGACCGAAGTCATCTGTAGTTGCCGCAACCGTTTAACCGTGTCAATGGTACAGAGCATAAACGTCTGCGCATGTCTTACCATCGTTATTATACTCAGTATAATTAACCAAGTCATGCGCATACCATAATTGGAACTGCTGACCAACCAATACAACCAGTGGGGTGGGGAGGAGCTTGAACACTAGTGTTGTGGAGTTGACATCGGCACCGTCAAGTTGGTAAGTGTAGTATTTACCGTTGCTGCCTTTCAAGAACTCAGCAAGCGGAAGAACTGTTTTGTTGCTGTAAGTTATCACCGTCATTAAGTTGTGATTTTCGTAAGTTGACAATGAGCATCCCCACTTTGTTGATGTTGTTGAAGTGTCGCATGTCACGGAGCCACTTGTATGGACAAGTTTAAAAGTGTAGATTTGACCGGCTTCTTGGATACGAAAAGTTCCGTGGTCGTCACCTTTTGTCCCAAAACAGACAGGATCGATGTTGACCTTTTTCCAGTTATCTGTAGGAGAGTTTTTATTGAGAAAATTAGAACAAAGTAACGGAGGTATTCATAATTTCTACTGTAAAGACAGTCCGTAGTTTTGAAGAGCACGAAAACTCAAGGTACTTAAAAGAACGTAACTCCTTGTCTGTTAGCACTCGCACATTTTCGGCGTATAGCGTCTGCGAGAAGACTGCGTAGAGCTAGATGGATCTCTTTGAAAATGATTCCAGAAAACAACAATTCTGTGTTAGTTAAGGTATGCTATAGTAAGTTTTGAAGGGAAAACGTTTCAGTGGTCGCTTTAAAGAATTACATCGTAAAGCAAAATCAGTTTTCTAGAATTTGCTTAGATCTATGTTTATCTAACTCATCATCTCATCTCATTGTCTCCTCACCTTCTTGATTTTGAACACCTTGATATCTATAAGGACAAACACAACGATATCCATGGATACCAAACCCCGCTTGACATACGTAATGACTTGGGCACGGGCTGCTCTCACAAGGGTTCTGAAGAGAAAGTTTTTGTCGATTAATATCGAATTAAAACTCATTACCATCTGCTGTGGATGTAGTCTGGGTATTTACTCACAATCATTGCTCTGTAGAAGAATTCTTTTCTATCCTTTTGGTAACTGGGAGAGACCTGGAAGTGGGTTCTGTTGTTCAGCTCGCATTTGAAAGCTCCATCACCCAATAAACCGTAGTTGAAGGACACGCAATTTGGTTCTAGGAAGCATTTTATTTCACAAACGTCTTCGCTGAGTACTAGTTCACTTCTAATGACGTGTTTGATAAGAGCTTTATTTGCTTCCCTCTCTTTGAACTCAACCGTTCTACAGTCATCTAGAAAAAGAAACATATCTGAATAAACTGAACAAGAAGAGCTGTATGTCATTATTTTTTTATCGTATATACAACTTAGAGTGCAGCTTCCCACGACCATGCCCACCCGGTGATTTTGGCCGATTAGTAAACAACTTCAAGTGCGGCTTAAACAAGCTAAAAAGCACACAGAAGACAAATAGTAAAACAATGTTTACTGAGTGGGTTTATGCAAAGTCAACTGCAGAAGAGTCGGAAAACTTTGAATCCAATGAGTTTCGCGTTGATTGACCGCAGCTGGATTTTTCCAAAATATTTCTCTTCTTCTTATTCAAAAAGGAAAAAAAAAATAGACAGCGGTATTGTCTATCTTTCTTGATTTTCCTGGAAAAAAAATCACCAAAACAAGATATCCTGTGCAAAATGTGACTTGATGAAAAGACGGAATCAAAGACAAATCCTTGTAAACTATGGTGTTCCTTGATATAAATTTACATACTGTCAGAAGCTACATCTAATGTTGAGAAGATATATTTTCCTTTTGCTTTATGGCTTTTTTTCTTCCACCTACATATTTCGTGCATTCGTTGTTTTTACAGTGTTGCGTTGACGCAATCTGAGTTCCAAACTAACCTAAAAAATTTCCTTTTTCGTTGTCAGTTTCTCAAATTTTAATCGAAGGAAGACCCGGTCCGTTAATAAGATCTTGTATCAATGGTTAAATTAAGGATTAGGAATTACATTTGACTACTTTTCTATAAGGCTTACCACCGTTTACACATTCAATCCACCAAGGGACGGACATGAAGACAACAATCGTTGTATAAAAGAGGGTAACGAGATTTTTGGAAGATGGTGTAGTCATCTCTGCTCGGTTAAAACGGCTTGCAGTCGCAGTTATAACTATAAATCCCGCATTAAGCAAACATGAATTAATATTGATGGCTTACGGCTATCGACTTGACAGAAAATTGCCTAATCATCAGGCAGATGTTCAGGAAACAATTGATTACTATCAAAACAGTTTCAAGAGGTTTTTTGAAAGGTCACTAGGCCAAATTAAAACGAAATCCATCTCATTAATTATGAGAATTATAAACAAACATTACAATGCAAAATAGGGCACTCGCACTTATCATTGTTATTTTTTTTGGAGGTTTTCTCAGGATTTTTCAGTGTCAAATCTTAGGATTACTTACCGAAGCTAGTCAAGTGATTTGTACCTCGTTAAAAGCCTATAGCCTGGCACCCCTATTATTTTCAGTTGGGTAGAAAACACATTTTGACATGAAAAGAATCACCAATGTACCGTTGGGGAAAAATGTTGTCTTTGTTAGTAGTCATTGTTCTTCGAAGGAGTAGGACTATTCATACTGGTCTGTGAAAAATAAATTTCAAACTGTTCAGGCAGCGCTCACACAATCGCAGTTTATAGCTTTAAATGATTTCCGCGCTCGGAAAACGACTGAAAAGGTGACAGAATGTTTTTTTGAGAGAGAAGCATTGCGCAATCTGATGCTTTCGAGTTATAGCTATTACATGCTGTTATCATGTACTACGTGTTTAAAATTTTTAAAATTTGAAGCAGCTTGGTTTTTGTTTACACAATAACAAAATGTTAGCCTTTGTCGGAACTTCTAGGCTGTAAGACCGGTCTTGAGTAGTTAATTATAAAAATAAAACAAAAAAATCAAAACACCAACAGTAGAATGAATTAAAATTTAAAAAAAAAGACGCGCGTACACGCAAAACACTTATTAGAACTCTTGAAAAGCTTCGTGTTTTAAATTATTTGTGTAAGCAACTTCGAATTCTTCTCCAAAATCAACCGAGTCACGAGGCTTCACTGAGAAGTTTGGAAAACTTCAAAAATAAGGGCTTATTGCGATCAGAAAATTAGGCGCATATTGAGTAAAACATAAAACTTTCGTAACCAAGCTCACAGGCTGACATCGTCAATCAAAGAATATCTTAATCTAGAGATGAAACATGGTTGTGAACTTGTAATTATTGGTCTTGAAGCAATGCAAGGTTGCTCTTATCTCTTCAAAACCAAGCTTCCGGAAACCATACAACCCCACAGAATAGTAAACACACTTATAGTCTACAAAAACAGCACAAAATAGCATCCTGCGTTTTTCGAATTACCGTTTGCAAAATTCGTCAAATTCAGACCGGCGCTGCAATACAAATCTTTCTTCACCTGCACACGCCAAATTCCACTATTCTCCATTCGGCCTATGTCACGTTTCGCCGCATAGTGCTACCTATGTGTGACACAGAAAGAGCATCTTTGCATAAGGACCTTGGAATTGCAAACAGTCGCCTAAACACGTAAAAAGAAGTCTACGAGGCTCAATTTGGCGGGAGCTTTGAGCGTCGTGTATATCTCTCAAGATTCAAGCTTGAAGAAAGCGAATGTGGCCTTTGTTATGAGTTGAGAAATTGAATGTTTGAAACATAATTATTATCTATCTGCAAAACTACATACCAAAACTGGCAAATTCACCTTAACATGCATATCCTTGCTTTTTTTTCATATTTTTTGCCTGACGTGGCATACCTTTTACTCTCTTCCAACGAACATTAGGATTTACTGGTGTAATAATTTAAAGGAAATGGAAATTAAGGGTTTATTAGGCGAATTTTGCGAATATTGTCAAATATCCTGTGTATCAGTGTTCGTTTCGAGGTCTCCCATATCCTTGTAAAACTAAATTTCCCCCAGTACTGCACGAGCTAAATGTTCGCCACAAAAATCCTAAATAAAGCGTTGGGAATACCCTCAATCAACAAATGAATAGTTCAAGCTTTATTGAAACGCTCAAAATGATAATTGTAACAGCATAAACATTAACCGAGCTTAAATGCTTGATGGTACGGTTTACTCGTATTTATGCAGGGTTTTTTATCTATATGAATTTCAAATAAGACGTTGATCCAGTCATTAATTATACATATCATCACGGCATGAACGTTAACAGAGCTTAATTGCCTAAAGGTATAGGTTAATCATATTTGTGCAGGATTATTTTTATCTATACAAATTTTAAATAACATGTTCATGACGAGTTCTATCATAAATTAATTATTCGTATCATAAGTTTAAAACTTGACGCTCGGCATCTTTTAATGTGGGTCTACCGCAAATGGCGTGTGCGTTTGTAAGTACTTTGAACGTTCCAGAAGGAAAGCAATTCTTCGTGATTTACAATCAAGCTTCGCACCACGAGATGCTGAGAGTAAAGAGACCTATGAAGAACAAACCAAGTCACATGTTTTCTCGTCAGTCGCCTCGTTTTCACAGTTGCCTCGCTTTCATGCTTGTAGAGGAATATCGCAGGCCGTCAAGCAATGCAGGCTTACACACTTTCGACATTGACGATAGATAGTTAGATAGGAAACCGAAACCTAGACTCGGCCTACCTGTGTAACCTGAGTAATGATCTTTGTTTACAGGGTTTTCTCCCTCTTGCATCTGCTAGCAAACTACCAAGTTTTCTGCCTCGGAATAATACCTCAAAACGCATTTTATGCGACTGTAAGCTTTTTTGACTAATTGAAAGTAACGATATGCGGTAATGAATTCCACAAGTTTGCTTTTGTCGGAGAAGCACAGGATTATTTTCGTCCGCTTCTGATTGATACAGCTGCAAATGTTTACATCACGGCTCTTGTTTAGCAACAGATCATGAACAATCGAAGCAATTCACAGTTTTGGGTTTGTGCCTGAGCTGGATAAATTTTACTCGCTTGGAAGGTGATATTTAAAGCAAAGATGCTTAGTACAAACTGTAACAAAGCCTCGCTATCGTTTTAGGCGCGGTTACTACTCCAATAGTACATCTTGGTGAGTGAGTGACTAATGGGCATATCGAAGTCCCAATAAAAGCGCGTCTGCAGAATCAGTAAAACAACCATGGTATTAAGGATAGAACGCGCGTCCGTAGTAAGTAACTGAGGCAAGATAAGTTTATTTTGTATTCTGGAAAGAACAATTGTCCGACAGTAAACCGGGGCGGAAGTTAATATCAGAATCAGGCGAGGGTCTTTTTCAACTATCGGTCGAAGCTAAAACTCTAGTCCGCGCAAACTAAACTCACGTTTTGAAACGTGATCGGTAAGTCCCGCTGCTGTGCTACTGGTTGTGACTCAAATAGGCCGTGTCAGTCCTGATTAATCAGTTTTTATTCGTCAATAAAGCTAAGAGGCTCTTTTCAGTAAGCTGGTTGTATTCATGTGGTGTATAGATTCGTTTTCCGGGTGCCAGTAGTTGTTGATATCTGTTCAAGGGTCTCCGCAAAGTAAGTAAACCAGCTTTTCAGAGTCAGTCGTTAAAAGTGCGGTATGTCGTTGATTACGCATCAAGCGATGACAATTTTACAAGCATGATCGCTGACGTCACTATTTGTAAGGACCGGTCTGTCTTCAGTTAATATGTTGTTAAAGTTCTTAGTCTCTCCAAAGCTGAAGGCTCAGCGGTCCAAGAACTTACTGCCTCGACCAGCCTTGGAACTAAATAGACTTATTACGTCAATTAGTCTGAATCAGTCTTTGCTTGAGAATACGATGAGCGCGAGGATTAATTTGTTCCTTTCGTGTTCAAGTCAAAAACTCTTCATCTCAACGTGTTCGAATGAGGACCCTTTAAAGAGTGTGAATGTTTTCCGCTGTGTGCCCATCGCCGAAGCTGAAAAAGGATTTAACTTCCCATAACTTAAGGGGATCATCCTATAAAATAGCTTCACGATTTTGTTCATGTAGATTTACGACGCGATGAAAGCCTACTCGACTGTTGAGAGGTGGAATGAAAGAAGACGTGTACGAACAACTCGCTGCTAGGTACGTGAAACGATTTTTCATAATGAAATCCCAGAAAATTCTTTACCTTAACCGGCAAACAATTAGTGAGAAAGAGACAAATGACTGAAAATGTCATCACCACATAGTCTTAACTTATTGACAAGGAAATAAGACAAAGCTAGTTGAGTGTTATTTCTATGTCAGATCTTGGTAGCTAGAAAGTTAAACACATATTTGCATAAATTCACTCAGACAACCGTTCAAAATCAGTAAGTAAAAATCAAAACAAAACAAAAACGCTTATGTACGTAACAAGGGCAAAATGACACGAAGACACAAAAAAGGTACGTATTTCGCTCCCTTTTAGGATAAGTTGACAACCATTAAAAAGAGGAAAATTAAAACATGTAGAAGGTTGACCAAACTGGGTATCAAAGTGTCAGTTGAACTGATCAACAATTTTTGTTGTCTTTCCTGCGATTTTGCCAAAAATATTGTGAAATTAACGTCTACAACTTATACGTAAAGAAAGCAACAAAGAAAAACTCCAGTTGGTTTCTTTAAGTTCGTCTGCAGTTGGTCAGTAACATGCATTTTCCATCTTGTCTTTAAACCTAAATCGCTTCAGGGGGACTCTAGCGCTGTTCATATGAGAAATTTATGTCGTAACAAGATATGAGTACAGGATATTCTCCTGCCAAAATGCTATGAGGCTCAAGAAAGAAATCCAGAATGTGTGATATAAACCTCGTCGACTTTCTCTACGCCGTTTCGTCTTCCATGATCGAAACCTGCTCTGTTGTTTCTACGGTGAAATTGCTCAACAGTTCGCGGAGGCTAAAACGAACCGTTTTCTGTTCATCAGTCTCAGACGGTGCTTCTGCTGTGTGTGTTTCCTTATGTTCAGTTAACGATATCTTACAAGAAAATCCTTCGCCACAAAGATCACATTCAAATGGTATTTTCTCGGTGTGCCTTGCTAAATGCTCGTTTAAATGACCTTTCTGATTAAAGCGCTTGCCACAGTGGGTGCATTTAAAGGGCCTCTCCCCGGTGTGTGTTCTTCTGTGTTGTTCCAGACCTCCGGCCTGTGTATACACCTTCCCACAAAGGTTGCACTGATGTAGGTTTTCTCTTGTATGCATGCGTTTATGTACTCTTAAAGTTGCGGCGTTTTTGTAACTCTTGCCACAGTAGTCACAAGCGATAGGCTTATCGACAGTATGTCCTCTTTCATGTTCTTTCAAATTCCCTTTCCACCTAAAACACTTGCCACAGTGCGAGCACTTAAACGGCCTATCATTGGAGTGTGTTCTTTCATGTTTCTTTGCGCGACTTTCTTGAAGAAACGTCTTTGGGCAAAAGCTGCACTGATATTGAACCTTTGGTGCATGGTCTATATTTGACTCTTCAGCTGGAGAAATCTTGCCCTGACTGCTTTGCGAATGTGTTGTTTCTTTATGTATTCTTTCATGTAGACTTAAAGCTTTCTTCCGTACAAAGCAAAGGCTACACTGGGAACATTGAAAACGTCTCTCTTCTGAATGCGTCTTCTTATGGAGCTTCAGAATGCTTTTTAATCGAAAACATTGTCCGCACTGGTCACACGCGTATGGTTTTTTCCCACTGTGTATACTTTTATGTTCCTTGAGATGTCCTCCCTGCATAAAAGACTTGTCACACTGGTCACACTTAAAAGGCCTTTCACCAGAGTGCATTCGCTTATGCTGCTCCAGACCTCCTGCTTGAGTGAACGACTTATTGCAAAGATTGCATTGAAATAACTTCCCTTCCGCATGAACCCGCTTGTGTACTTTGAGAGTTACCGCGTGTTTAAAACTCTTATCACATTGATCACATTCCATGCGTTTTTCATTGGTATGCACCCTCTTGTGTTCCCTCAAGTTACTTGCTCGCCTAAAACTCTTGTCACACTGGCTGCATTTGAAAAGCTTTTCCTGGATATGTGACCACTGGTGTTCTTTTAGATATTCAACTTTCTTGAACGTCTTTCCGCACTGTTTACATTCAAACTTTTTTTCTAAGGTATGTCTCTGTTTGTGTTCTTTTAGATGGCCTTTCTGCGAAAACTTTTTTCCACAATGCTCACAACTAAAAGGCTTCTCACCTGTGTGTGTTCGTTTATGTTGCTCCAGACCCCCTGATCGAGTAAACACCTTCTCACAGAGGCTACATTGAAAAAGCTTCCCTTCCGAGAGCAGTCTTAGATGTACCTTTAAAGTAGCGCTATTCTTAAATCTCTTCCCACAATGACTGCATTCACATGCATTTCCACAGGATTGCAATCTTTTGTGTTCGTTCAGGTCTTCTGCCCGTAAAAAACGCTTTCCACACTGTTGGCACTCAGGAAACTTTACTCTCGCATGTCTCCGTTGGTGGTCTTTCAAATGGCCTTTCTGGGTAAACGTCTTCTCACACTGGTCACATTTAAACGGCCTCTCTCCTGTATGTGTTCGAGTATGTTGTTGTAGACCTCCTGATTGAGTGAACGATTTGTCACAAAGGTTGCACTTGAAAAGTCTCTCTCCAGTGTGCATTCTTTGATGTACCTTTAAAGAGGCGTTATTTTTAAACCACTTCCCACAATAACTACATTCACATGCATTTCCACAGGATTGCAATCTTTTGTGCTCGTCCAGGTCTTCTGCCCGTACAAAATACTTTCTACATCCTTGACACTTATAAAGCTTTTCGCTCGAGTGTTTCTGTTTGTGGTCCTTCAAATGGCCTTTCTGGGTGAAAGTCTTCTCACACTGATCACATTTAAACGGCCTCTCTCCCGTATGTGTTCGCTTGTGTTGTTCAAGGCCTCCTGATTGAGTGAACGCCTTGTCACAAAGGTCGCACTGATACAGCTTTTCCCCACTGTGTAGTCTTTGATGTAATCGTAAAGATGAAGCGTGTTTAAACCACTTACCACACTGGGTACATTCAAAAGTCTTCTCAGAAGTGTGCACTTTTCTATGTCCGTTCACTCCTTGTAGTACAAAACTCTTCGAACAACCGCCATCCTCAAAATTTCTCCCGCCTTCATGAGTTCGGTTATGTTCTGCTAAGAGAGCTTCCTCACGAAATGACTCACTGCACTGGTCACATTGATAAGTTCTTTTTTCTTGGTGTAGCATATTATACTTCTCTCAATCTTGAGCCTGACCGACCCACTTCCTACAAAGTTTTAATGCACGTGTACATGTAATCGAATTAACTTCTCTTTGTGCCAATAAATGTTGACAGAATGTTGATTCACTTTTCAAGCTTCTCCCCTATAAGTAAAAGCAGTATGGCAATAAGGTCAATCAAAAGTTGAAGTACTCAGATAGACCCATCAATAAATAGTCACCATCAAATAAAATATAACATTAACTTGATATTTCAGCACCCTATAAGGCTCAGTGACAGTCAGGCTTGTTAGCCCAAACTTTTGTTGCTTCACAGTGACAAGAATCTTTGGTTCAATGACAATCAAATGGAGCTTTCATTGTCTGAGCAATAAAATCAGAAGAGAAACAGGCCACTAGCATGTGTTTCTCCAAAATCATGTGAAAACCATTAAAGAAATACCATAGCAATGTTTACCAATTCACATGTTGGCTGATGCAACACTCAAGGGAACCCCAAAAAATAAGAACCCTTAAATTATTATAACGACCCTACAATGTAACTATGACTACACCAGCACAGCTTTACAGCTAAAAAAAATAAAGCATAGTTTGAAAGAATAAAGAATAATAACTCCCAAGATCTCATTAGTAATTCTCCTTACTGTCTGCCATACAATTCTTATGTGAACTTTGGAGAATTTAGTATTGGATCATGAACAACCAACTGTTCTTTTCAGTTGTGTGCTTGTTATTGCATTAATATTGCAAGGAGAAATTCCATTTTAGGCACTCATGGGAGTTAAAGGGTTAATAAAGAGTCTGGAAAGTAAAATACAGCAAACCTGAATTAAGAGGTCACCCACAGGGAATGGAAAAATTACCACTTAATGCAGGTTCCACAGAAGAGGGATAATATAAAAAATAAATAACACTTACAAAAAACACCATTTTTATGCCATGATTGACCACTTAATGTACAAACACCCACTCAAAATACTAGTAGAGTAACATTGATTTCAGGAGAGAAACATGAATTAAAATTTACTAGAGGGATTATTTTCAATTTTTTTTTTCGAGTGGTTCTGTTTTAAATGAATGTTTAATACCAGTGGAAGACAATACAAAGAGGCCATTGGGACTTAGGAGTGATCACGACAACTTAGTAGAGATGACCACATAATAGAGGTGAAAATTACAGTAAGTAAGGTTAAACAAGTTTGAGACTTAGATAACCACCTCTTAATATGGGTGACTGCTTAACACAGTGGAACTTAATATGGGTTCAACTGTACCAAGTATAATACAATTCAGTAATCTACACAGCACTAGAACTCTAAAAAAAAAAGAGACATTGATTTCAACTCTTAGCAAGTTTCTTCTCAATATTTTCAACTAATCTCCTATAACCGTTGTAAGTGATTTAAGTAATATGACTTAAAAAAATAAATTTGCCCTCAAATTAACATTTCTCCTGTTTTGATTCCCCACAAGAAACACTAAAGTTTTTTTATACCTGCACATGTATGACATAATGTTTTGAAAAGGAAATATGCTTGGACTTCAGTAATGCTTCTAATTGTTTTCTAGCACTAAAAAGTTAGACACCTGGTATATTAGAATACACTTAAATGAAAATACTTAAATCCACAATAACTAATTTAAGGGGTTTTGATGATCTGATCAGTAAAGTGTTTGAATGTGCTGAGGCAAACCAAAAACAGGTAAGGCCTACAGCATCAGAACTTCCATATTTCACTTCCCATCAGCGACAATGCACATAAAAGTAATGACCCCTTTTGTAATCCTTCAGCAAGTGAGGAGATAAGTGTAACAACTTACTGTGGGCTAGCCCCATGTACATGCACACATACTTTTGTGGTTTAAGGTCCTCCTATAAACAAAGTTTTGCCCTCACGAGGAAGTGTAACTAAGCAATCCAGTAGTACACCGTCAGCACAAAAAAATACAGACGAAAACAACGTTTACATAAGAGGAGAATAAAACCACAAAAGCTTCTACCAAATGATTTATATGAAACAGAACTATGTGGAAATTGTTCGTGAAGTGAACTTTAAGACAAATTATTTTCGCAACCAGGCTAGTTTACACCAAGAATCGAAATATTTGGAGCTCAGAAATATACCTTTAAGCTATCATTCTGAAGTTAGGAGTGAAAATAGATGACATCACGCAGTAAACAAAAGATCAAATTTGAATGTACTCTCGCATTCGATCGCCAGCGTGCAACGTCTGTCATTTTACATTTTCTTATTGTACCCAGGCTGTGTTCCAATATACATAAAAAAAAAATTGGTTGGTAGGTGGGATACATTTCCTCACAGATTTTCTTATCTTTACCTCGAATCCAACCATCATGACAGAGTTGATGACACTTTACGATCTAGGGCTGCATGTGTTTGCTCGCTGGGTTGACAAGCTACCGGCTACATGTTGAAAGTATTGACTTTTTGAGCAAAGCGAGCAGTCGTTTACATATTTCATGTGTTTGTAAATATGTTAGATATCACAAAGACTGGCTTACCAAGCTTGGTGATTTGTTGGTGAAAGGTATTAGATCTTGGCCACCTGAACGAAGTCTCGATGATAATAGCATATTTGACGTACTAGTATCTCAGTATGACATTCCGCTATCCAGTTTAGCCTGCTGCTTCAATCTTGTCCCCAGCGGTTTGTCGGCCACTTTTCATAGATAAAGGCCTGTAAAAGGAAACTGAACGCTGCTATCCGGGGCACAAAAGATTCCTCTCCTATCATAACATTAGAAATGTTCCTTTTATTTGAATGAGTATCTCCAAGTCTTGAATCGAGTGACATATCACGCTTGCATTACTTCTTTAGAAGTTTCAGGGAATTTTATTTTTTCAAAGTGACTGCGAACATTCGATGCGGTAAAAGAATGAAAAAAGGAGAAATATTGAAAAAGACCTCAATTTTTCAATATCCTGTCTCATCTTTCTTTCTACCTTTATGCTAATGTTGTTTGCGGTGTAACTTATGTCCCGTCTCCCCTTCGTCCGTTGTTCCCATTATATAGTCCAGTCCACACTAAACCTTTCAATGCATACGAAGATTGGGCACTAGGTTACCAAAAGGCTGCTCCTCGAAAACAATACTTGATCAAGACTGATATTGGTTCATCAGTTTAGGAAAGGTAAGGGGAACTTAAGAGGGAATTTATTCAAAGGAAACATAGAAATTATCGCTTTCCTCAACGATTTCAAGCGAAATCACCGAGACCTCCTCATTTATACGAATTAGCCGGGTGCAATTTTCCTTTTTATCACTGCCATGGTGGTCGTTAGATAGCGGCGTAATATGTGACTAACAAAGTCTATAGACTGTAAGATTTTACGCCACTATCTGCGTCGGTGCACATACTGTAAGATTTTAAGCCGTTAACTAATGTTTTAACTACACCAGTAACTTACGGCGTAATTTCTTCCAGTCGGTGATACATATACGCCAATAACTAACGGCTTAATTTCTTCCAGTCAGTATTGTAAATACCCTTTACGGTGGCTAATTTACGTTTTCAACTCAGTCGTTAACACTAAATTACCTAGTATTGTATATACTGTAAGATTTTACGCCAGTAACTAGCGGCCTAATTTCTTCTATTTGGTGATACATATATTGTAAGATTTTACGCTGGTAACTAGCGGCCTAATTTCTTCCTGTCGGTAATGTATTTATGTTAGGGTGCGTTCCTTTGGGAGTATTCGGATTAGGATTTGTGATCCAAGATCACACAGATCACGATGCATGAAAGGAACGGAGTTTTAGGGTGCGTTCCTTTGGGAGTATGCACGTAGGTTATTGAGCTCTTCTCTGAATGGCTCGTCTAACTGCACGGGCTTTTAGCGCCCACAATTTGTCTAATTAGCACTATTCATTAGAAGCACATTTTTTTCATGATAAACTCAAACGATAGAGTCATCCTGGACATATAGTCAACTGTTTTACGGTAAATACATTCGCCGTTCGTCATTTTACAGTCTACTTACAGTATTTTGAATTTTGTCCGGTAGAATCCGAAGAAATCTTTTTTAGTGTCACGCTTGGATCTCTACATACACTGTGTACAGCGGGGTCGGCGAAAAGGACAACGTTCGAATTTTTTCACTTTCGAGAAGCACTTGTGGATTCTAAATAAGAACAAAATATTTTCCAATAGAAATTGGTATTTGTCAAGGAGAAATATGAAAAAATATCAGACTGTCGGACGTTTAGTTATTCGAAGACCGAGTCGGTAGTGTCCGAAGAAAATTTTCTTAGTGTCACGCTTGGGTCTCTTCGCACTCTGTGTTCAGGGTCGGCGAAACGGACAATGTTCGAATTTTTTCACTTTCTAGAAGCGCTTGAGGATTGTAAATGAAGTTAGAATATTTTCGAAGGAAAATTGGTATATTTCAAAGAGAAATATGAAGTTATTGGAGGACCGTGTCCGCTCGTGTCATTGAAAAGTTTTTAAGTGTCAGGCGCTTGAATGGCTTTGTACTCTGTATACAGGGTTGGCGAAAAACATTAAGTTCGAAATATTTGGCTGCCTGTAAGCGCTAGAGGATTGTAAATAAAGGAAGAATATTTTCGTATAAACATATTGGATTTCGAAGAGAAATATGGAAAAATATCGGACTGCCGGACGTTTAATTATTTTAAGACCGTGTCCAGCCGCCGGACATTTAGTCACTTCATTGCAGGAACGTCAGCGACACTGACAGTTTATGTTACAATTCTTATTTGCTGCTTTGCATGGACAACAACCTCGACCACTCTTTTGAGCGCAAGCTCCTCTCCACGGGTAGGAAACTTCAACTGACCCTTGGTCCTATTTAACAAGGATGGCAATCTTCAATGAAAAAAAATGGAAGTATGAATTTAAACGTGGTGGATCAACATTTTCACCTTCCTCGGAATACTCGCAAGGATTTTCGTGTTCCTCTCTAGCAACAACTGATCCATAAGCACTTGCTGCCTCGGAATCTACTAAATCAGTGTATTCATCTGATTCCAAACTGGATTGAAACGTATAGTACTGTTTTAAACAGAATTATTTTGACAAGTTCACCGAACTCATCGGGAAAAAACTCAGAAGATATTTTGAGACAACGTGACAAGGTAAAAATAACTGACCAATCAGAGGCGCTATTTAAACAAAAGTGGTGGTTCAAAACAAAAACAAACGACCGCGTTGCATCAAGGTTGGAAATGGGCCTTTAAGTACGAATTATGTACACCACACCAGAAAAATTCGTTAAAAATGGTTAATAATGAAAAAGTCTTCGGTGCGCCTCGTACTACAGGAAGTAACGTTTTTGTAAAAGTACAGCTGGTCTGAGTCGTGCCTTAGACACAAATATACTGTAAGATTTAACGTCAGTAACTAACGGCGTAATTTCTTCCAGTCATAAATATATACACAGTAAGATTTTACGCCCGTAACTAACGGCGTAATTTCTTCCAGTCGGTAATGTTTTATGTAAGATTTTACGCCAGTAACTAGCGGTGTAATTTCTACCAGTTTGTAATGTATATAGTGTAAGATTTTAAGCCAGTAACCAACGGCGTAATTTCTTCCAGTCAGCAACGCATATACTGTAAGATTGTACGCCAGTGACTAACGGCGTAATTTCGTCCAGTCGATAATGTCTATACGTAAGATTTTACGCCAGTAACTAACGGCGTAATTTCCTCTAGTCGGTAATGTATATATGTAAGCCAATAGGGATAGCGGAATCGATATTCCTGATGCATAGATACCCACAACAGCCGATTTATGAGGACCTAAGAGGGACCGGAATAATAACGAGGATCGAAATGCACCAATAACAGCGTACCAACGTGCAACAAATAGCGACACGTAAACAATCGACCTCATTGCCCGATGAAGACTAGCAGTATTGCAGTCCGAACGTCGCGATCAACATCAAAAGTGACTCTATGGTGAGAGAAACGAACAAAGTTCATCTCCTATATAAACTGTGTTAGTCACATATTACGCAGTTACGTTTATTCCCATCACGTATCAGACGGAAAAACATTATAAATTCTCAGTCTGCATTTTGTACCCGGTCTGCATTCTGAATTTTGTACCTAGTCTGCATTTCGTACCCGGTCTGCAGTCTGCATTTTGTATTGACCAGATTGGTATTGCTGTTTTTCCTCGAGCGAGTCTCAAGTCCGAACCGAAATATTAGGGCTCGAAAAAAATTTTTGGTAAGACTATCTTGTGAATGAAAGTGATCCTCACAGTGATGTGCACTACTTAGGCATTCACGTCTTTATCCGCAGTTCAAATATATGACTTTCATATTTTTTACCGTCTATTCATCACTTCACGGGTTTATTTAGAACCACCATCATGCTCCCAGTTGGCTTGTTAGCTCAGTTGGTAGAGCGTCATGGGTTCAAATCCTGTACAGGCCTGAATTTTTTTCAGGCCTTATTTTCACTACTGCCTAAGTAGTGCACATCACTGCGAGGATCACTTTCATTCACGTCTTTATCCGCAGTTCAAAAATATGACTTTCATATATTCTTAACCGTCTAAGACTATCTTGGCCGCTATGATTGATGTGTGGACTATATGTTGAAGAGCTCCCGAGGAAAGGCACAATGATAGAGCTATGATTACTATATACCAACTGGAGACGAACGCAAATGCTTGGCTTAACAATGTGGCTGCCTCTGATACCCTTCCACGTGGTCACAGCGAGTGTTGAAATGAACCCGCTACGGGTCCCCTAGGTGTGAACATTTCAGCTTCTCGATTCAAGTTGCATTTTTAGAAGTTCGGAAATGTGATTTGAGTTTATCATTTTTATTAAACCATACAAACATTTTATTTCTTTCCACGTGACTTTCTGAGCTTCATCGGGATTAATTTTGACCTTTACTAGGTCGGTAGGGGTATGGTGCGAGACTACTTCCGTTCACGGTCCACAATGCAACTTCCGTGAACATCTGCTTTACCACAATACCTCATGTATTGCTTTCAGCGTGAATGAGCGAGGAAATTGGCTCTCTTGAAATTTTCATATTAATGAAGCAGCATAGGATATCTATGTTTGGACTCATGTTAACCCAAAAGGTTGGCGGTAAATAGGTTTGCAATTATGTTTTATAACTTTGAAATGTGTTTAACTGAGTGGAAATCATGCGTGGATGTAACATATAATGAGGTGTCTCAGCTTATCACTTTTTGAGCAGTGATATCTTGTTTTGGATATATTTTGGTGGTGTTGAGGTACCGGTATCTAGAGCTCTGCCATGCCTCCTCATTCACTGCACTGTTATGAGTGTATTTGGAGGGGTGCCTTCATCTACCATATTTCCACAACAGTCCCTTCCTTTTTCGCAAAGGAGGTCTTCCTTGGGAAGATACTATTGTCAATTTTCCCTTTTGGAAAGTGTCAACATATATATGGGCTATTTTTTGTGGAACTTAAAGCCATAGGGGCTTAAAAGTGGTATGAAATTTTCCTTTATGAATAGGGGACCAAATTTAATTTATTACCTTGGGGAGGAGGGAAGGGGGGTTAGAAGATTTTGGCTTTTGTTGTTATAAAATTTAGCTGATTGCCCCATAAAGTAATAGTCCCCCACCCTTCAATGGTAAGTTTATAGCCGTCAATTTTCCTTTATACCCTACTAGGGATGCCTGATCACTGCACCTTTCCTCCTGAAAATCCTCCACCCCTCCCCAGGAAATAAACAATGTTTGACAGTTTAGTTTATCTTTGGGGAAGAGGGCTAAGAACTTGGAGTTAAGGGTAGTTTGGTATTCCTATGCAATGTTTATGGTAACAAGAATAAATGATAACTCGTAGGAGATTAACCCTTTAACCCAGGAGTGACCAGCATCTATTTTCTCCTTACAAATATCACCCATTAAGGTCATGAGAGCAAAGAAAATGATCAACAAATTAACAAGCTCTTTATTATTAAACAAATTCTCTTTGTCAGCATCTTAAGAAATGTATGAATGACAGTATGGAAAATATGCACACTGATGTAAGGGTGTAAAGGGCTAAATCAGAAATTCGAGAAATTCAAGAATATCCCTGCATAGGTCAGGTCCACTGCTAACTCCGTGCTTCTATTGATTAAGGATTTGGGTTGGGGCTGAAGAGGAGATAAAAGACTGACTTAGGCCTTGCTGCGCAAGCGAAAAAGTTGTTAATTTAGACAAATTCCTGTCATCACCAACATGTTACATGTGCGACTTGACCAATTTTGGAAAAAAATTTTTGAAAAATTTTTGAAAAATTTTGTCTTAGATAAAAACTGGACGAAAGCAATAAATAAACAAGACCGTGAAAAACTTTTGTAAACTTGCCCTGCTTCTCTTTACTACTTCAGAACCTCAGAAACACGTCATTTGATGTCAGTACCAAATGTTTGGAAAACATGGAACATGAGATCAAAAATGGTGTTCCTTAACCCTTTTGCTCTCAAGATCTTATGAGTAATCTCTCTTACTGTCTACCATACTATTTTTATGATGTTCAGAGAACTTGGTGTTGGATCAATTAATAATCCTCTTATGGTAATGATAATATTATTTTTCTACATTCTCATCCCTTGACAATGTCTGCTTGCTTTTGTAGTGATATTGTAAGGATAAATTCTGTCTTGGTCACTCACGGGAGCTAAAGGTAAAAAAACCTGTTGGGGGGTTTACCCCGAGTTTTCCAGCCAGGGTTGTAATACCAAGAAGCTCCTAGTCTCATTTGGATTACATAATATTTGAACTATTTATTATAGAAAGTGAGCAGCATGATTTCTCTCTCCACTTGACAGTCACTATATGGTCAGTCGATCATGGCGAGATGGAAGCTGATGCTGCTGCCTTTGGTTGTTTCCCTGTATGCTCTACTGACGACAGTTGAAAGACATTTAAAATGCAATTTGCCTTCAATTGCTAATTTGCTGGTTAGTTAAAGTTTCCAATTCTGACTTTACAACAGTATTCTTTTGTTTTATGTTCTCTTTTATAACCCGACATCATTTCCTCTCTCCTTCTTTTTACTTTCGCTTTTTCATCCCATCGTTCTCTTCCAAATGCTTTCTTTTCTCTTTAAAGACCTAATTCCACCCATTTTTCCACTTTTTCAGTGTCAAGCTTATGAAGCAGGGGAAATCTCTGGACCTTTATGCCCCGATCTTTGTGAACAGAAAAATATCCAATTTGGAAATTGCCTTACAGAGGCGATGGAAGATAAAGTTTATGAAGGCCAATGGCATGGAAGAGACGTCATTTTTAAGGCAAATCTTCGATGGTATACGGACTTCAATACATTTCAGAAACAAACAGACGAAGATGTTGTTCTAAGTTTTCAAGATAATGTTTCTTTCTTAGTGGAAACCTTGTTTGGTGATTGTCCTCAATGCAACAGGCTTGTGTCGCTGTTTCTATCCCTTGGTGATAGCGACAATGATGGTATTGTGACAGCCCCCGAAGTACGGTCGTTGGTGCCATTATTGCGCCAGCAAGAACCATTTATGTTGATTGCATTAAATAACAGCAAACAGACTGCTGATTTTCATGGATATTGTGGTGGTCTGTATGCGACTGAAAAGCTGCCTCTCATTGTCTCAGATGTTTTTGGTACAGAGTGGAATTTCGATGATTTGAACATTGTGCCCGATACATTTGAACCCTTTCAAGAAATGGTGAAAAAACTTATTGCAAAGATTTTCGACGCAGCCAGTTCTATCCCGTATTTTTCTAAAATTGTTGTGAATATACCAACTATTACATTGAATGGTATTTTAGATGCCTTTTTCGACTTACGGATGCCCAATCGAAAAAAACAGTTCGAGTATTTCCACTCACTGCTAGACTCTGTAATGGATCTGTCCAGTAACCCTTATGGCATGTTACAGTCTTGTGACATGCACCTCGGGAATTTTGGAATCGCCAATAATTCAGTGGTAAAAGTGATTGATTTTGACGCGGTCTTTCCTGTTCATTATCTTAGACATGTCTTGGAGCAAAAGGAATGTGTTTCTGATGCTGATTGCTGGTTTGGCACCAAAGATGATTGCCAGTCGTCGTGTGACACTGCTACCAAGAAATGTACGTCGAGAATGCAGAAACAAGATTTGATCCATATCTGTGAGACTCACATTCCCTTTGTTCTTAAAAGGCCCTGTAACCAGGAGTTTTCGAAAAACAACTCCACATGCTCTAAGAAAGTTATAAGAAAATTCGAGTTGTTTTGCAAAAGGTTGAGAGTGGTTGACTCACTTGATCAGCTAAGAAACGATGTTCTAGCGGTGAAAAAGGAACTCACCCATTTGGAGAAGGATTTATCCAATATGTGCTGAAGCAAAGGACCCTTCAGTAACACTAAAACTGTTTAGCACTCATCTGCACCAGCAGTACGTCTTTTTATACTGTTTCGCCAGAGGACAACTCTGATATCTCGAACAGTGAAAAAAAAACCACGGTTTGATACCGTGATAAATCAGATAAATCCAATCTGTTTAACCTGTTTCAGGTTTTTTTTACGACAATTAACGATAGCATCAATCGCGAAATATTCCTTTTGCAGTGATCTCTTGTTTCGACTCTATGCATAAGTATTTTCCATTTTGCTTTGTCTCTCTCTGATTTTTGCATTGTCTCTCTCTTATACTCTTTTATATCTGAAAACGCATCTCTTTTAGTGCGTTTTGTCTATCGTCCACGATTCAGGCTAGAAAACGCTGACTCGCGCGACGGAATTCCCAGAAAAGGGAGGGACTTCTTGTAGCCTAGTTTCGAAACGAGAAGGCAGTCGAGTTTCTCTGTGAACATGACAGTTCGCGTGTTACCGTGATGGAAACGCGTTATTTGCCTACGATGCATCTATTATGTTAAGTTTACTCTTATACCAAAAAGATCATATCATCATCAACTGATTTTAATAACGTGATGATCCTAAAATTATTAATAAATGATGTAAGCAGTTTTAAAAGGATATTTATAGAAGGACATCGATATGTAAATATTTTAATTTTATTTTATTTTTTGAATCGAGATCTATAACACTTTATCCAATCAATTATGGTGTTACAGTTGTAATTAAGACTGGAGCTGGCCAATTTATGAGCAGAGGAAATTGTCTGTCCGTATTTGGCTCTTGTCCATCTTACGGGATGCGACTTTACCTAATGTTACCAATTTTCATGGTCACATACTCGTACGTCCATTTTAATCTTCCATCGCCAAAAGCAACATCGTCATGAATATGTGACGAAAAAAAAAATAAAGACGAAATGTTCGCTTTTGACCTCAAAAATGTCCGTGCTGCATGTCGCATATGGTCCAAAATTCATGATATGTGGAAGCCTAAAAATCATTCAGCGCTGGTGTGCTATCTGAAGAGCACTTTCGATTTCTTAATCGGATCTACAAGGCATGATTTGGCACTCTGGCTTTTAAATTGTCAACTGAGTTTATAATGTAAATTGGCCACCTTTAAGAGTTTGTAAGTTGAGTTCGAGGGCTGGCCCTTCGTCGTTATGAATGGAGGAATTATGGGTTGCGTGTGTGTGTTTACGTGCTTTCTTTGATAACTATACTGAGGATGCTTCAGGGGAAATTCGGCAAGAAGAGGAATGTAAATGAACCCTCAGTTACAACTTAACTGCGACAACTTTGAAACTATACAAACGCATTTTAATTAAAAGGATTTCCCACTTAGGATTGAATTTTGTGTCACTAAATTTCACGTCGACCATCCTTTTCGAAGGGTACTTGAATTTTACGCTTCGATTAAATTTCGAAAACTGCGGAAATTAGCATCAATTAAGTGCGTGGTAGAGCATTTTAACAACATACCATCAGCGAACGCCGCTCCCCGCGCGCTGCCTGGGACAAGTAATCTCCAGTCCCTCGCTGCCATTTTGATTACATTGTAACTGTACCAGGGGCCAAGCAGATGAAAGACCTTCAGGCATTTAAAACAGACTCGTGGGCAAAGTGAGTGACTTCAGTACAATTACATCTCAAGATGAAACTTGTCATGGTATGCTTTTTCCTTTTTTTAATATGATCTGAAGGTTAATTTGATAATTAATGTCATCGACTCGCCTGGTGCAGGAAACACATTGTTTACATTTCGCAGCGTGTACTATTTCTGGTAGTTGACAAGATGGAAAATTTCACGGGCACAGGACTTTAAAAATTGGGGATAACACTTAGGTGATGTATTGCAAGATTATAAGCTGCTGTTCTTCATCATATGTAGAATCCTCTGTAAATTTGATACAGTTGAACTATCAATTTTTGTTGCCATATTTCCTAGGCAGTTTGCCCATCAAACCAAAGATTCTAGTGCTGAAAGATACTTTTTGCTTTTACTTTGTTTGCATTGGTATTCAGCCTCAAGTCCACTTGTAAGAAAGCTTCTTTCATTGTAAACGTAAATATAATGTAACATAACTTAACATACATGTAACAATCTTGTTTATTGCTTATTTAGCTTCAGTTCTCTTGTTGGTTTTGCAATGCAGGCATGAAAACAGTTCCAGTTGATAGTGTGGAATCTTACTTTGAAAGTTCTATACTTGACATTTCTGCTTTATAGAAGATGCCACAAATAAACATAGACCCCAAGGTCCATTTTTTTTAAAAATTAAAATTCAATATGAAGCAGTCAAACTGTCATCTCTTTTAGTTCAATTTTGTTTGCTCAACACTTACAAGCCAAAGTTTGTCTTCATGTTTTTGTTCTTGTTTTTGTGTGTTTTCTTTTTTCGTGGTTTAGTTTGGAAGTGGAAGTAGCTATGGGCATTTTACAAATTAAAATTATAAAAATTGAATGAGAAGGGCTGTCTGAGGCATTTTGTGGAGGAGTGCTTTTCTTAATCAATGGAATATATTGTGTTACAGTATAATCTAACCAACAGGAAAACAGTACAATCCTACAAACTCAACTACTTTATTAAACAACAAGTGATAATTATTCTTAATAAGGAGCGACTCTTAGAGGCAGTTCAGTACTTATGCTCAATGAACTCTGAATCCCTAAGTCTGCTACAGTCTATATCTTAGCTCACCACTGAGCCAAATTCACAGTTTCCCCCATCGTTTCTTGAAATTAGTAATCATCCACTGAAGCTCTGATGAAATGTTCAGGAAAGTTCTATGGTAAGCATGTTAGCATGACTAAGCAGTCTGGAGTTTTCTAGAAGCTTGTATTTACAACAGCAGTTACTCATAACAACAGTCATATTTTGTTAAAACATACTTCTCTGTCCTCAGGTCCAGCTATGTCAGGGACAGAACCCTTTAATTTTTTTCCCTGGTCCTTCATTTGATCCACAAGGATCCTGATCTACTGAGGTATATGGGCCCAGCTTCCTCCTGTCACATTGAGTGTGGTGCAGCCGGTGGCTAAGATGTCAATCACTGAGCTGATGAAGCTCACCTTGAAAATGGGGTTGGAGTGTAATTTTGAGACTGTTGCGAATATGGGACCAAGCCATAGGAGAATGTTCGTAATGTGTTGTATTGTGGGAGATATCATAGCTCAGGGATCAGGGTGTGGAAAAAACAAGGCCAAGCACGAGGCAGCCAGGATGGCATTGAATAAGCTCAAAGAATCTCAACTTTATGTTGACTTTGTTAAATGTAAGTTTTTGGACCTGACTTTTCAATTTAAGTTTCTAGATTTGTTGCGCTGCCCTGTAAAACCCTTTTCAGTGTAACATCAGTATGCATATTCTTCATGCCATTCTCTACATATTTCCTAATGTGCTAATTAGGAAATTTTGTTTGACAAATAATTAAGAGCTTCTTGATTCAGGAGTGATATTGTAAGGAGAAATTAGATATTAGGCACTCGTAGGGGTCAATGGTTGACCACATGTCTCTTTTCAATCATTCAAGCCTCTTTTATATAATTGCTCAAGTTGTTGGCAATATTGCTATGGATGTTTCTCTTCTTGGTTTGGGATTACTGGAGGAGCATTCTGTTATCTGGGTCTTCCACTAACACTTAAAGCTCCAAGCCAAGACGAGTATTTTTTGTAGTTGCTGTTTCTTTCGGTCTTTAGACACATAGTTCCTGAGAGGAAATACTTTCATACTATGTAAGTTTAGATAATGATCTTTATATCTATTCTTCTAAAGCAAGATAACACCTACCCAATAAGTTTGAGTATTCTGATTAACTGTTTGCTGGATGATGTATTTATATTGTAGGGATAAGGTGGATGTTAATCACTTCTGGGAGTTAAAGGATTAAAGGAAAATTCAGTGTTCTCTATAATTCTGTCATAATTATAATTTTTCCACAACAGCAATGGACAACATCTGGTCTTGTGCCACATAATAACCCCATAAGTCATCTGCAAGAGCTAGTTGTTAAAAATGGAATGCGAAGACCAGAATTCGAGTGATCTAATGGAGACGGCCCCCCACATCAAAGGACTTTTGAGACAACAGTAACAGTGGGAAACTTACTATGTACAGGTAAAGGCAGATCTAAAAAGGAATCCAGGCGTAAAGCTGCAGAAGCCATGCTCAATTTCTGTAATAAAACCTTGATCTATCATTGGAGCCACCACAAAAGAGGATGGTTTTCATTCCTGCTGGAGTCCCTATTTCGTTTTTACCTGCGGGCACCTTATAGGGAAGATGGCTTGTCATATTTCCATGAAGGGCAGCGAAATCAGGAGCCTGTTATAACAGCTTTATCTTCCCATAACAGTAACAGGAAAAGCATATTTTGTTGGAAGTATTCCTGCAGTTTCAATCTGGGAAGCCATAGGCATAAGCTACAATACAAAAGCAATGCTAAGAAAAAAATGAGAAGTCACTTATTGGAAGAATGTATTTTTAGTATCGTCTACACACAACAAAGAGCAGAAAATCTGCACAGGGTGAAGAATAACACTCATCAGTCATTTTTGTTATCTTAAAAAAGGGATGTGATTATTTGTTACAATGAACTTTAACAATAACTCTCATTTATCTCATAATTTAGTCACAACTGATATGGATTGCATTGTGATTAATGCTTTTATGTAAGTGTACTTCTAGTCTTTTGTAAATAGTGATTCATTCAGGAAGTGACTGCATTATTAGACAAAAGATAACACTAACTTTTACATCACATCTTCCTTGTTAACCTTCTTAGGCAATGTGAACCATTTGATGAATTTCCATCTATTTAATCATAGGAAAAAGTTTCATCATGTTTGATAGATTTATTGAAAGCGAAGTAAAGAGAACTAAAATACTCCGTGCTTCATTATGTTTTAAAATATGTTTATTTCAATAGGGAGCCAAACAACAACCAGTTTTACAATAAAAAGAGTCTCTGTTCCTTTATATTTGAAACTATCCCTGTCTGATGAGATGACTGATTTTCATGCACCTGACAGAAATTTAATTTACTGTATGTTATCGTTCACTATAACAGTGATGAAATAATATGTAATTTTTCTCTCTAGCTTTTTCCAGTAACAAATGTCCATAACTGAAGTGAAAGTAAAGTAGAGTCCATGGTTTCAATCCTTCATGTTACAGGAAGTATCAAGAAAGATGCCAATTGAGTTTTAAATTCCCTTGAAAGAAGAAAAGAGTACAGTCCTACAGCTCTCTTCTCTCAAGTGTAAAGCCAACCAGAACTTCAGGAGCAAGAGATGATGGCACAAATCAATATTTTAAGCAACCATTCAAGATACTTGTGAACCTTTCTGTTTGAAAGCATACAGTAACTTTGAAAGAAATTTGGTTTCTCTTGGGATAGAGAGGGATCAAATATTTTCACGGACGTCATTAAGTAAAGGAACGAATTTTCACATATAAATAAAATTTCATGAAATATCTCATTTGCTCAGTAGTAGACAAATGTTCTTTGGCCAATTAAATTTTCAAAGAATTTGCCAGGCTCTCATCAATGCCAGCTTTACATGCGCAATGTAAAAAGCACTAAGCTGCTGAACCATAGAAGTAAGCTAAACAGCCCTAAACTAGCCGAAGAAAGTCACATGATGGAAGACAACAACCACTCAAGTGGGGTAAGTTTGTTTTCATTTAAAACTAATTCAGATTTTTTCAGGTGGAGAGGTTCAGTGTGTATTCCCATACAAATCCTTACATTTCACCCATTGTGCAACATAACCATATTGCAGAATAATGATCATAACTTATTTTGTAACCTAGGGTAATCAGACATGTAAGGTCATATTTTACTTGTCTAAGTGGAAAATTTACGGCCATCCCAGACATTCCAATGGCTCAAGTGTCCTTCCCTCTTTTAGGCCGAAGTTTCTCACAATACACCTACATGCATCTAAATTATTTATAAAATCCATAGTCAAGGCAAAATTTCATGCTCCAGTGTCTTGAGAGCTATGCTTGTGCTGTCATTTGATGTCATAAAGGGTGACAGTTTAGTGTGCCTAGCATGATAGAATTTCTCCCTTGTGTATACCTTGAGGACTTTGGAGATCCTGCTCCTGAGAGGAACTTTTATTATGCTGTTCAGGTGATAGGTTTCTGTGAAAAGTGAAGAGCACTGTGTAAATAGAGATGACATTTAAAGTGAAAACACTCTCCACATTGATAGCAGCTAAAACTAGTATTTGTGTCAACATGTTTGCCTTCATGAACTTGGAGATGGCCTTTCTGTTTAAAATTCTTGCCACACTGAATGCATGTGAAAGGTTTCTCCACTGAGTGAGTTGTAAAATGCTGCTGGAGGTGACTTTTCAAACGGAACTTCATTCCACATTGATCACATGCAAATGGTCTCTCTCCTGTATGTATGCTTTGATGTGCCTGAAGATGTACCTTCTGCTTAAAACTTTTTCCACATTGTTCACATTTAAATGGCCTTTCCCCTCCATGTACTACCCTGAGATGAATCTGCAGTGTGTCTGGATGGTGAAAATTCTTATAACACCTGACACATGCTGTACTCTTGTCTGATAAATGTGTTATTTCATGTCTAAGGAGACCTCCTTTTTGTGTGAACTGCTTGTCACAATGCTTACACTTGTAAGGTCTCTCTCCTGTATGTATTCTATAGTGTCTGTGAAGATTTCTGGAGTAACTGAAGCATTTTCCACAATAGCTGCATGCAAAAGGCTTCACTCCTGTATGTGTCCTTTTGTGGTTTTGAAGGTCCCACTTGAGACTAAAGGTGCGGTCACACTGGTTACATGCATAAGGTCTCTCTCCTAAATGAACCATCGTGGTGTGTCTTCTCAGAGTTCCTGCTTCACTAAAGGTCTTTCCACATTCTTTACACAAATGAGCCTTTTTACTTGTATGTCTTCTTCTGTGCTTGTAAAGACTACTGTTACTGCTAAAGTTCTTTGGGCACTGATCGCATTTAAAGGGCTTCTCCCCAATTGGAGTACTCTGTTCCTCCTGTTTATTGTTCTTTTCATCTTGATGTGTGTGTAAATCCTTTTCTCCTTCTTCAGCACTATCCATAGTTGATGCATCTAAAAGTTTTGAAGGGATCTCTCTTCGATAGAAAGACACTTTAAAGTAAAGAATGATTGATTGAGAGACTGATCGTGTTCGATCAATTGAAAAATTATTCTTATAAACATTTGTTTTCACAAAGAAATTAACCGAATGAGTAGGGATCGGGGCGTTCAACTACCACACGTTCAGTTAAAATCGTGAGGACGTCTTCCGCCATAGAAGCCGCATATTCAATGGAAGAAAATAATGCTTCCTTTCAATCAGATCGTGCTTTCCAAATTACGCATAAAGCCTTCCGATGTTAATGTTTATCAATTTAATTCCGTCTCGGACTGTTAACTGATCAGGAGCAACTTCAGAATACCCCGCAACTCATTTACATGTCATTGAATAAGAATAGCGTCTATTGTGTTATGCCTCGATCTTCAAAGCCTCCCGACACATGTAAGTGAGGCGGACCAAAGTTGCGGGGTATTCTGAAGTTTAGCCACTGATCAAAAGTAAGTCTACCTGAGTCTCTTCTAGATAAGTTCTTTGGCACCTTACCTGAAGCAAAAGCAGACCAACAACTGTCTTTCTGGAGGTGCGTATGTTTAACTTGGAACAGCGACACCATTACGGAGTACTAGCATCCAGACTACGCTCCTCCTCGGCTAATATTAGAATGGCCTGGACTTTTTTCCTGTCAGGACTTGGATTCCGGACTTGAGTTTAAGATTACCTATGTTATGCGAAAAAAAGTAATTCCGTTTTTTCATCAGCGTAATACGAACAAAAAAAAAAGCTATTATGATAAAAGTTATTTTGGATCAAGAGAACATCGCATGTCAGTCTTGGGTGGAGCCACTCTGAGGCTAATACGTTTCATCCACGGGTATTAAACTTTGTTGCCGTCACGTTTGTGGCTAAATAGAGATCCTATTCCGCGAGGTTTAATAATGAAAGGTAAATTAGAATTCCTCATCCTTTTATACTCAATTTGAAAACGTTTGATTAAGTTTCTCAACTGTTTATTAATTACCTCGACCACACTATCGCCGTCGAAGACAACGCACAATTACATCTTTGTACTTCTTAAAAGATTGCAGCGAACAAGGCCCAAGCAATCAATAATTAGTCATAAGTCTCATTTTTTTTTACAGATGCAGTCTCGTGACCCTGAGATTAAACCAGAAATGAAAGACGAGTACGAGAAAAAAGTGGAGAGCAAATGATGATTATATAAACGATTGCTCTCGGGAACTACTCGAGCAAGATAGTCGGATAACGATGAATTTTTCAACAATAGCTCTGGCATTTATGACTACATTCTAAATACTCTTGTCACCTTCGCTTTATCATTAATAAACTTGATTAACATTGATTGAAGTTCGTTCCTGAAGAAATATCAATGAAACTTCAAACTTCTTGTTTCTGTGGGGCCCTTCATTTGCAATTTTAACTTCTTGACACAAGTGAAAAATGATTGCTAATTGAGAGCTCAGAAAGAAAAAAAATCTGAAATCTTTCATGTAACTGATTTACTTTCCTTACATCTATCCCTATTTGGTTCACATAAGAAAGCTTATTGAGTGAAAGAGAACGAATTTTCCCTGGGTAGTTTAGCGAAGATTAAGCGGAACGTGAAGGTTCATTAAACGTGACGAGCGTGACAAGACCTGAATGAGATGAGCAAAAATTGACCTTAAAAACCCTTAACTTTAACGGCGGGATATGCATTAAATTTCCGGTAAATTACATTCTTTCTTGTTATTGTATATATGTATCTATTTTTTTTAAGGTTTTATTTAACCCGAAATGGGTCTCTTCCGTCACCATCAAGATCAAAGAGACGTCAGACAGTTTTAAGGGGAAAAATAAAGCAAATTCAATTACATTGAAAATTCCAAATACTTGAGTACTCTTGAAATTCAATTTCAGGACTTTCTTTTGTGAGGCGATAGCATATACGTTTTCCGATTAAAGGAAAACGTGTCACTCGCCATGGGTAAAAACTCTCTACCTGCCAAGGGAAATAATAACTTGAACTTTCGTCTCACATGTGATTAGGTCGTGCTCTTTGAAACCGCGGCAAATTTGTGTGCCAGCTCCATAGAGAAAATCACTTTTTGCAAACTGTTCTATTTTTGGGGTGAGATGTAGAAGTAAACGCTTTTCGAATAGCTTCGCCTCGGGAAGCAAAAATCACTCTTTCTCTTAGGGCCAGTCACCAAGTGCCTAGTAAGTAAGCTTTCTTCCAATGGACCGTACTAAACGACAGGCTTGAAACCTTTCTTTACGCTTCAGTTCACTACTGCATAGGCCTTTGTTCATTTTCTTTCGGGCGCAGTGATTGGTTTCTCAGGCTTTATGTCGGGTTTCACTGAGAATCAAGAACTTGATCACAAAATTTCTGATAACTAATTTTTCTCTTCGCTAATAAACACCAAAAACAGCTATGTCATGAAAGACCTATAACACTTTCCCCTGTTTTATATGGTAATAAAGCCACGAAGGATGGTGAAAGAATTCTCGAAAAGCTTGTAAAAAAAACTCGCCTCACGGCTTGTGACCTTCAAATTGTACGCGTGTTCTCCCAACATTCCGCGTGGCATTATGACGTTGTAAAACCCCGGGAAAGTGCAAAGTATTTCTAAGTCTGTCTTGTTTGACGACTGCGTCAGTGATATTCTGATTTAGACGGGTACGTTGAAACAGGTGCTGAAAGAGTAGCTTACTCAGTCATACTTCGCCGCCTCAGTCTTCGTGAACGAAATGGCCACGAAATCTGGTGACAAGATAAGTAAAATGTCCTTAGCGATTTCTGGGATTACGTTGGCCCTCGTTTTATTTTTGTTTGTTAGATTCGAATTCGAGTACAACAATTCGAAAGCGCTCGATAAAAGTATTCAGCAGATTGAAGTTGACCTTAACGCAAACATAGAAAGAATTGTGGAGGAGAAGTTACAGATTCATGAGACTGCTCCCACAACCAGTAGTAAGAAAAGGCCTGATGTTACCCTTGGTAAGTCACTGTTTACTAGTGGTAATGTTATGTAAGCAAAACATTGCGTCATCCAGGCACAAAAATGATTTTTCCTGTTTACGTCTCCATCCTAGGGAGAGAAGACTCGTTGTTTAGTTATGATTTTATCACCTATGACTGAGATAAAGGACATAGAGATATTGTCAAACTTGTATTTAATTTCATCGTCTTTGATTTGTGTCATTTACCTATCTACACTATATCTACAGCGTTTTTTTCGAAGAGGTTAACTCAGATAACATTAAAATAATGATTATCCTTCTTTGCAACGTGCTTTGTGGAAAAAAACAACCATAAGAAAGTCACAGGGTAAACATTTTGAAGTTAGGGTTTTACTTTAGTTATTCAGCATTTTTTGCTTGTTTGAGGAAATTTTAGTGTTATTCGAAACACCTGTTATCACATAACGGAAAGTTCGGGATATTGATGTGTGGTTACAAGAATTCGTGCGACAGGAAACGCAAGAAATCAGATTGGATCAAATTGCTCAAAGTTATGACCTCGGCATCGCAATTTCCTGAGTCACGGTGGTCTTTAATCTTTATTCTATAATCTGTTTTTACTAAAACTCGATTTGATGATATTTTATTTTACCCTGATGTACCTTAGCTCATATCCTCTGCGTATTTCCCAAAGAGGTCAAACCTAAATGACGTTAGTATCTAAATAACTATTTTTTAAGAGCTCAGTAGGACAAGGAAATTATAGGATATCAGCCAGTAAATAGTTTAAAGTTATCATTATTTACTCACCTATTATCAGTAGTATTATTATAATTAGTTTGCTTGAATGAAAAAAGTTAAGGGTATGTGAAAACTCAGCTTTCACCTGAAGGTGATTTTGTGGTATTGACATGCATTCGTGGTCAAGCCATCGATGACTAAAGTAAAATTTTGTTGTATCTAATTAAAACAAAGTTATGACCTCAAGCAGTTCGTTTCCCTCAATCAAGTTTACGAACATTCTTGAGGCTAATATTTATGTTTGATCCCCGCCATATTCTGTTACCAAAATCCTCACGGAATAAGAGTTATCAAATACTTCTCCTTACTTTGCAAACAGGATTTCAAGCGCAATGAGCTTGTTGTCTGTAAAGTCGCAATTGAAAAGTATTTTGCCCAAGAGAAAAGGCGGTATCAGACTAAATTCCACCCTTTTTCACAAAATTTAGAGAAGTAAAGTTCTCACTTTTCTATTAAGTACTTTTTTCGGTTTGTTTTCCCGTTCTTTGACTGTCACTCAGTTTGACGATGAGATATTTCTTTTTTTGCACATATCTGCCATGCCATATCGAGTGCGTATCTTTTCAAGAAAGTTAAACTTTGCTGATGTTAAAATCTGAATTATTTTCTGTTTAACGAGCTTGATGGGACAAAAGAACTCAAAGGATACCAACAAAGAAATTTTTTGAAATTATCATCATTAATCTGTTTATCCCTTTATCGTCTCGTAAAAAAATCATGGGTTTATTTCTAATTTCTGCTAAAAAATTAACAATGATTTCACGATGTTAATATGGGCTGACATTTATTCGTGATTAGGCCACTACCGAACATGAGATCGTTTTAAGGTACACATAGTTGCGCCCAATCTAATCAAAGTTAGGATTTCCAGCATTTCCGGAATCAAAGTGGTTTACATTCTTTTTAAAAAGATCATATGTTTGATCCCCACCAAATTTGGCACGAAAATTCTCACGAAACATCAAGAGCCGTCAATCAGCTCTGAACATCTTTAATTTGCAAGCTGGACTTTAAGCGCGATTCTCAGCGAGTTTGCAACTTGCAAAATGCCTTGATCGAGGCCAAAGGGTGCTTCACACTAGCTTTTAACTGCTTTTCAACAAACCTTTGAGCACTGAAAAGTTCTTTATTTAATCATAGTTTCTCTTTGATTTTTCTGTTCTTTTCTCTGACTCGGTTTTATGATTATCTTCTCTGCACAGTCTTCCTTCGGTTATGTACACAGCATAGTTTCCAGAAAGTCTAAACGTAACCGACCGTAACTCTGAATTAGTTCAAATTAACGAGTGAATATTGGGAAGCAACACTCGTTGTCATCTTCATGCATGTATCTATTAGCTTCTTTGCTCCAGAAACGAAACTTTGCGGTTATTCAAAGCATCTTCTTTGTAGTAATTACGTTTATTCGTGGTCAGGGCACTGAAGACTGGAGATTGACAAAAACAACATTATTTTTTTTGCCAAACCTAATGGAAGTTATGACCCCGAGAAGTCTTAGCCGAAAATGTTCACGTATTGGACCAAAGGCCGCTTTAAATTAGCCAGACTTCGACTTTCTTTTTTTCAATAAGATTAAAGAAGTGAAGAATTCTTTTTTTTAAATCATGTTTCTTTTTCAAAGAGATCAAACCTAACTAAGGTTAAAATCTGTTCAAGGATATATATTGCATAAAGGACATAGGATCACAGGATATAAATCAGAAAATATAATGAATTGTCATAACAAGCACTCATTTCCTTTCATTCCAGTGACGAAACCTTAAAAACACCTGCTTTCAAATTTCGGTAATTTTGCGCCGTCGACATACGGTGACAAGCGTTCATGCGTCAGACAACTCAAGAAATCAGATTGGATTAAATCGCCCAGTTTAAG